TTTCATAGTTGTTAATAAAAGAGACAGACCCTCACTGCAATTCATGTCAGAGGACCCCTCTGCAATATCCCTGCTCCTCCTGATCAAACATGCATCAATCAACCACATCGCACACACACACACAAAAAAGAAATATTCAACCGTGGCATAGAGCCTCACACACACACACATACAGTCACAGACCCACAATCCTGCCTACAGACAAACCTCTTGCTGTGTCACCACCTTTTCCATTGTGTGCTAGTGAAAGCACCCATTTATCTTAAATCATATGTTTCTCTGGCTGCCTTGTAAACAGGCAGCTTAGTAATGTACACGTAGGCAGACACACGGTTTCAGTTTATGGCCACAGGCACTCATCCCTCTTCAGGGAGGTGGATCGACATCGTATCTGCAGAGCTGAATGAGTTTATAGGCCAGTCTGGAAAATTATAATAGTCTACATCTGTTTGGAGATGCAGCCTATGTAGACCTCTTTGTCTGTGAGTAGTTAGTGTGAAGATCAATAAAGGTTATTCAGAACATCATCAGCTTGGATGACCATATATACCCTGTAAAACCACCATAATCAATACGTTTTATCAGTGGCAGCTGTGGCAGTTATTTGCAATAGCAGCCACTTATTAACATTCCCAGATGTGTAAAACACAGACTGCTGACACGGTGAGCCAAAATGCATGTGAAAAATGAAACATCTGTCAAATGTTTTTAAAGACTCAGCACTCCCTAATTTTCCTCTGAAATGTTTCCCATTGCCTGAATCAAAGCTTTCCTTTTTGTTAAATAGTATTGGGAACTTGCTGACTCGTAACCCAGAGATGGCGATAGCTGCTGAATGTACTCAGTGCACGTCTATATCTGGATAATGCGATGGAGCTCTAATAGTGACAAAGCTCAGGGCAATTTGGAGTCTTTTTAAAAGCAAAGTAGCTTTCTGGATTCAATTCCGAATAAATGCTCTGTGAAATACAAAGTAGGTGATAAGCTCATTCCTTAACTCCATTTCAGCACTGTGTGTAACCATTCACATCTTTGTTAGAACATTCCTATCCTTCTTTTAATGCATCTCACTCTCTCTTTTTCGTAAAATGCTTAATTTTTCTCTCCCTTTTACTCCATCTCAGTCACCCTCTCTCTCTTGCATACACACACACCCTTTTCCTGAGCAGTAGGAACATTCCTTGAGTCAGCCCATATTAGAGTATCAGCACTCTGCCTCTGAGAAATAACACAGACTGAGAGAAGGATGGCGGTATTCAAGCACGTGTGTGTGTGTGTGTGTGTGTGTGTGTGTGTGTGTGGTATTTATAAAGGCAATATTCTTCAGCTCGCATGTCAACAGGTGAGATGACAGTGTCCATAACATCCACATTAGTAATTGCTTCACCACAACTCAACAGTTTTTTCCATCACAAAAGGTAGACAAAATAACAGAGACATAATGAATGACAGGGCATGTTATGTATGTATGCATGTCAGCACTTGATATTTGTGTTTTCAAACTTTAAAAATATAAAGCAATATGTGAGCTCCATTGTAAGAGGCCGCATTCTGGCTACACAGTTTTGAATGTAGTACAATGGTACTACAGTCGAGTATGATAGTGTTGCGTCAGTGGCCAAACTGGAGGTGCATCAGCCAAACAACATGATGGTAGTTAACACGCTAGGTGGAGGGTCTTGACAACAATGTGGACAAATGCATTCATCAAATGCTTGACTTACTTTGTCCACCCCTTGTCTGTGTTAATCTGTGCTCGTTTGCATCATCTTCCTCTCCTGCTGCAGAGATGTCTGAATGTAAGCCATGGGAGGATTTACATGCATCTCCCCAATGGCGCTGCAGTGTATGGCTGCAGCATGACAAGACTATTCCTGTTGCCTGATTACAGTAGATCACACAGGTTTGATTCCTCAGCTAGCTGGACTGCAATCGCAGACCTATTAAAGAATTGGGGAACAAGACTGACATGTGTTAGCAAATACAGGGAGACTGAGACGCAACATGTAGGTGCCTCATGTATTGTTGCTTGATACCCTCCATTAGAGAATCTCTAACAGCAGTGTACAGGGTAATGACAGACTGTCTGTGTCTCCCAGAGAAGGCAGACTGCTGGGAATGTCACAGCAGACACACAGCACCTGGAGACGCCTCTACACATACGGGAAAACACACACACACACACACACACACACACACACACACACACACACACACACACACACACCTTAAACAGTTATGTGGATGCACAGGTTGATCCTTTCATCTCTTCATTTTCAGATAGGGAAGATGGTATGTGGAAAAACGTGCAGACAGAGTGAGGAACGGAGAGATAGCTCAACACAGCTGTTCGCCAGGGAGCAGCGAAGTAACTGACGGGAGGAATCGATGCAGAGGGTCGATGGACAAACATTAAGTCCACAAGCTGACAAACACAGCAGACAGTCCTCACAATGCAGCATGGACAGGCTGCCAAGCATAAACAGCAGCCTACTAGGACACTGACACAACAATGCTAATGTCACTGTGACAGCTAAAGGAGTTTGCACTCAGGCAGGTAAACAAGAGGCAGGTAAACAAGAGGAACTGGTTAATAAGAGGTGTCAAACAGTGAGTTAAGTCAAGTTACCGTGGTCTTTTCATTAGTTTAACTGACAGGACTGCCTGTTCTAGACCGAATAAAGCCCATATTTGGGGTGAATGTACAGACAAGTGACAAATGAAAAAGGAAAAACTGGAGTGGCGAAGCAAAACAAAACAGATGCATCCATAAAGGGCACAAGGGGGTCATCGAAAGGTTTGTTACAAGTTTGAAAGTCAGTCAATCATATGATGTGGCTTTCTCAATAGTTTTGGTTGAATGGTGTTCATCCTCCGGTTCAGTTCCAGAAACTTGCTGAATTTATGCCATGAGCCACTGAAGCCATTTCTAATTTCACTAAGACTGTGTTTCCTTTATTGTGTCACCCATCTGTTTATTAACACCAGAAATTCCAGTTTCACAGAAATGTATGATAACACTCTCCACAACCGCTTTGCTTGTCACTGACTTGCCGCTCTACTCTGCAAAGTTGCAGGAGGTGGCAGATCCACGGGAGAGGAGGAGGGCCACAGGGTGTCAGCTTGAGAGACAAGGCTGGGACGATGTGTTGTTCTTAAACGGACACCAGTAGTGGGTGTGATCAGGAAGGTGGTGGCCTGTTGTATCTGGTGATCTGGCACTGCAGCAGCAGTGGAAACATGCTGTTCATGAGGAGGGCAATATCCTGTCCCCTATCTCTTCCACATCCCTCTCCCCTCTTCCTGCCACCTCTGTTTTCCGTCTTCTCCCGCAAAGCCCACATGCCACCAACCTAAACCTATAGATCTGATCAGCAGTCACTGCCACTGCTCCAGCTGAATACAGTGCGCCTGCCTGACGACAAAAACATACCACACACACACACCAATCGGCCAGTAAACAGTTAACATCTGAACGCCCCTTTCTAACCACTACAATCTGCTCTCCCACCCCTGCTGCTCTCTCATGTCCTTGATCATCGACAGGGGCGACACCAGTGAACTGCGATCAATGGACAAGCCTTTGCACAAATGGATCATTTAATTGTAATCTACGTTAAAAAGGCACGCACACACACACACTTGCAGCATTTAACGGACGACAGTGCACACCACCACCAGCAGCAGACATGCAGGAGACACAGAGGGAGAGAGAAAACGCCCTGCCTTGTTCCATGTCGAAACCCCAACCCTCTGGCTAGTCTATGCAGCTCACACACACACACACACACACACACACAGACACACACAGACACACACAGACACACACAGACACACAAGCTTTTCTTTAGAGACCATATAGAGGCCACATCTGGACAACACTGATTTCTGAGCGGGGTTTTTTCTGTCTTTGTTGGCCATCTGCGTGCTGCGTTAAAGGCGAGCGATCACACGCTTGTAGACACGCTGATCATGATGTTCCATTTATGATCGCGGTTATTGATATATTATCGATCTGCCACGTCCGCATGATGACAATTAACCTTCATATATGATCGGAGAAATACAAAAAGGCCAAGCGTACCCCCTTTTTTAATTTTTTTTTTACGCCTGATGGGAGAGGAGGTGAGGGTACAGAAAACAACGCAGTCAGCCAAGTCAAGGAAAACACACCATACAGTCAGAAAGCACACATTGAACGCCACATCGCTTTAGCTTGTGCTAAACGTGAACAAGCGAAGAGCTTTTTGTTTTAAAAAAGAAAAAGTTTTACCTTTAACTTGAGTTTCATATTCGGCCACTATCTCCTTGTCCTTTCGGAATTTCGCCGGAGACGTCATGGCTGAGTTTGGAGATCAAACCACTTGCCCTCGTCGCGAAGTCAATTTTGTCTCGATCAATCAATAAAATCAGCAGTAGAGGAGTCGGGGGGAGGAAAATGACACTATATGGAGCAGGGGTTTTTAAAAAAAGAAAGAAAAAAGAGAGCCCAGATGAGAGATGGCAGCTCCTCAGTGTGCCAGCGGATGTGTATTGTCTCCCTGGCTGTGTTCACTCCGGGCGCATTGTGAGTTTGGCGCTGCTGCTGCTGCTGCTGTGGCTGTATGTTCCCATCCGCCGCCGCGCCTCACCGCCTCCTCAAAACCGGTTATGGTGCAAACAACTTCAAGTGAAAGGAGATTCATTCCCCTCTTGAAAAAAAAAAAAAAAAAACAGTGATAGCTCGTCAGTCGGCACTTCCAAAAGTTTTTTATTTTATTTTTTTAGATGCCCTGAGCGGATATCGGCCACGCAGCTGCCCGTCCGCCTGTCTAAACTAAACTGCTCTCCTCTTGCCCCCCTACCACCCCCCTGAAGTGAGAGAGAGAGGGAGAGAGAGGGAGAGAGAGAGAGAGAGAGAGAGAGAGAGAGAGAGAGAGAGAGGAGGAGGAGGAGGAGGAGGAGGAGGAGGAACCGAGTGGAGATGGAGGGGCAGCCCTAATGCGCAGGACAGGCAAGGACGCGCACATGGACATTCATTTGGGTGAATAAACCACAAGCATGTAACTGCGTGCTGCATGTAACAGGTCCCAGATAGGTGATTTTAACCAGGTGATTACATCGCTTAAAGATTCATTAAAAATGTATGGAAATGACCTTACTCAAATAGCAGTATTTAGGATGCTAGGCCAGCTGCAATGTGCAGATAGAAGTAAGCAAAAGTGGGTTTAATAGCCACTTCATATGTAATTTCAGTGTGACCATCGACAGGAGACAAGATATCTTTAGTGTGGACTAACGTTATGTGAGTATTTACTTTACAAAACAGCACATTATCAACTGCAGCTAGGATATGTGGCTATGTTAGCCCCAAAATTGGCCAGAAAGTCCGACCATAGCTTTTATCCTGATAGCAAGCCATTCCTAAATTCTTCACTATTTGCACTCATTAATGATATTATTGACACAACGTGAACGTATTAACATTGTCTTATATTTCGACGGGAACATTTTCTCAACATAAATTGTAGTGATTTAAGCTGTCTATTTATAAGGAAACTCCTCACAAATGTCGACGCATCAACTGTTTTAAGGACAGCCCCGCTTCACTTCATAGGACCAGAGATATGCTTCCCACACCGCTATTGGTGAAACGGGATTTGATTGACATGAGACCCGACCAATCCGCTCCCAGAACTCGTTAACGTGGGCTTGTCAACTGTAATTCGTAGCCAATTAGATCCAGACTTCGTATTGAAGTTGACCAATGGCGTCGGCTATTACGGAATGTATCCAATCAGATTAAAGTGTAGGGTCTTTTAAAGATAGTTTCAGGAAGTGCCGTTAAATACCAGGAAGTTGTAAACAAAGCTGACAGCTATTTAGTTAGCTGTTAACTACATCTGAATGGATGGTGAGCCAGTTGTGTAAAACAGGATAGTGATTCGCCGATATCGTGTATTTATCCATAATACAGCTAGTCATTTCCTTTTGTTTAGAGATAGTTTGGAGGAAATATATAATTTTCCGTGCGTTTGTTCAACCAGCTAACGTTAGCTGCCTTCCGTTGTGTCGTTAGGGAAAGGCTAACGTTTGCACAAGGACGTTGGAGCTAGCGTCAACGCTTGCGGAGTTCAAGTGTTAGACTCCCGACCTGAACGGACAGTGAGCTACATCAGTGCCCGGTCCTCGTCTTGTGCTGCATTTGCTGTCTGAGGACAGAAAGAGCGAGAGGAGAACAATGTCTACATCCAACGCTAATTTCAAAAACAAGTGTGTGACCCAGGTGAACTGCATATTCTGTGACAGTCTGCTCTGTACGAGAGGAATGAAAGCAGTGCTTCTCGCAGACACTGAGGTTGAGCTTTTTTCGACTGATATACCTCCCAATAGGTAAGTGCTAATCTAGTTAGCAGTGCTGCTAGCCTTTGTTTATGTCTGCTGCTGTTGCCAGGGCAAGGTGGACTTACTACGTCTAAATGACAGATGATTATCTAAACGATCATTTAATGGGAAGAGGGCCACAACATTGACACACGTACTATGATGAATATGGTTTGTTGCATAAAAATGTGAAGTTGATGCTGGTTTTAACCTTTCATGGCTGTGTTTGTTTCTCATTACACCCCCCCCAAAGAACTGTTGACTTTGTGGCCAGCTGCTACTCTACTGAAAGCTGCAAATGCAAACTGAGAGACATCGCTTGTCTCAAGTGGTATGTAAAGATCTTCATTAGCCTGCAGGCTTTGCTTTACCAAGACCATCTGCTGATGTGACATGTTAATAGGAAACACCACCATCACAGTTAGTGCAGTAAACGGATAGGCCCTAGCCATATAGCTAGTTTTTAATGGTATACACCTGTAGAGTTGCAACTACGATTATTGTCTTTATTTATATGACTATTATCTTCTTGATTTAATCAGTTGGTCTATTAAACATCAGAAAATGGGGGGGGGGATGCCATCCACAGTATGGCAGTAAATCTTCGTATCTCTTGTATTTTGTCTGGCCAGCGGTCCAAAATCCAAAGATATTTAATTTATAGTGATATAAAACTGAGAAAAGCAGCACAGAATGAGAATATTTGGTGTTTCTACATGAAAAACGTCTGAAATGACTATCCAGTTATAATAATAGTTGCCCATTCATTTTCTGCTGATGATAACAGAATGACATTTGAGTAAAAGCGTCAGCTTTATACGCTAGTAAAAATTCTGACATTTAATACATTGGTATTTATTTCTATTATTAACCTAAAGGAGAGTTTGGTGCTACAGTGAGGCTTTATGGAGCCTCTTTTGTATTCCCATGGCTTTGTTGTTGTACACAGGGCAAAAAACAAACATCTGTTAGATAATAGACATCCACTAGTGGAGTTAGCACTTTTCAGAAGTGCCCCCAGTAAAGTGCTGACACACATTTCTTCTTTATTCTCTCTCCCTCCCTCTGCCAGTGGTAATGTTGTGGGCTATCATGTTGTGGCCCCCTGTAAACCCTGCCTGCTTTCCTGTAACAACGGCCATTTCTGGATGTTCAATAGCGACGCTGTATCTACTCTCAACAGACTGGATGCAACAGGTCAGTGTAAGCCCCCCTCGATAAGATTGGAATTCTTTGCAATTTCACTCCATTAGATATATTTCATAAGCCTTTGTCACCCTCCAATGTATCTGCAGGTCTGAATCTGCTCCTGTGGGGTGATCTTCCTGAGCTGGATGATAGTGAGAATGAAGAATCAGAAAGCCCATCAGAGGAGGAGTGTATTAGGTAGAAAGGGAAATGGACAATGTGACAGACCTGGAACGCCAACATTTAAGAGGTGGACCTAAAAGAGTGTACAAACCATGTTTGAGATAAGAGAGAGAAGAGAAACCTCAAAGGGTAATTTAACACTGAATCAAATAGGGCAGAAAAGTGCTGCTGTAGTGCTTTGCATGGGTTAAAAACTTCTGTGCATCTGGCCACACCCCAATCAGTGATGTCACAGCAGGTGCTTTGCCTTTTATATAGGGAGAAGAACACCTGCTGTGACATCACTGATTGAGGCGTGGCCAGAAACACAACGGGCTCCAAAGTTTGAACCCACAGAGGACAATGCACCGAACGATTTTGGCCCTACTAATTTAGTGTTGAATTACTCTTTAACCTGTGACCATGCCTTCCCCCCCAATCACTTTTCACTGTTAAAAGCACAGACACACACACTGTCACACATATATTCTTTTCTCTCTTTTTCTCTTTTTTTGTACATTTGCGGGGGCTATTCAAAACACACGCGGCTGAAGTAAATTAAAAATAAGAGAAGACTAGACTTCTTAATCTAGTGCATTCTCCATTTCATCAGAGTCTCCACTGACCTCTTTGTTTTGATGAGCCTCATGAGATGTTGAGAGTGTGGTGTGATAAGTCAGTGGGACTTACCAGTGAATGTTGCGCTTTTTCACACTGTTTATGTCCAATTGTCTGATAAGTTGACCACAGTTCACCAACCTCCGTTTTAATGGCAGTTATAATCTGTACATTGAATATGCTGTACTAAGCAAACAATCCCATTAACATGTGTCATGTCTTAAAGGCTTATATGCTCTCTGTGTGGCTGGGTGCTGACTGAAAGCTTGGGTGCTTTTTGAATCCCATGTATTGGAGAAATAGCACAATTATTGAATTAGATATATATATATATATATATATATCTGAGTTTCTTGCTTTTTAGGGGCGTATTTGAATTAGGTTACCGTACGATCTGACGTTCTATCAGTGATGCGTTTTGATATGCTAATACAGTGTTTGTTACACACCTGACAGCAACAGTATGTGTTTAACACCCAGATGAATTTGACTGTAGCAGTATCTGATACTAACATACTAACTTATGCATAGGGTGTGCTTCCACAAAGGCCTGGAGCAGCTGAATTTTTAAAGTTTAGGTGTTTTGTTAGGAGCTTAAATCAAGTAATATATTCCCAGATTGATGATATAGAATAAGATAAAATAGGGAATTAACTAAAGGTGCAATTTTGCAGCTCTCCTTAACTCTTCAATGTGGATCATAACATGGATTTCTGTGTCCATGCTCTGTTTTTGTTGCATTACTGTTCAGTTTTATGTAGCAGCATAACTGTAGCACCTGCAGAGAAGAAAAAATAAACTCCAAAGAATCATGGAACATATCAGTATTGAACTTATGGCCTGGCTACCCCTCTAAAAAAGACGAGATAATGTAATTTTGAGCATTTCACATTTTTAAGTAAGCTCAAGTCAGTGGAGCTGAGCATAAAACTCTCAACCCCTCAGTATTCTATTGACCTCACTGATGCTGTGATCGTTGACAATTAACCTTTTGTTAAGCTGTGGACTCGGGGGTTGACGCTGTATGTTAGTTAGTCATAGTCGACTGACCAGGGCTTCTCTGCAGCCTCTTGTGCCAGACACAAGCTTCAACCTCCTCCAGTCACAAGGGACTAAACTCAAGTCAGTCCTTTTTTGGCAGTGCCATCCTTCTGCTCTTGTTCTTGTTTCACTGCTGTGCCCTGCTGATACTATGATCCTGTCTTAAAGCAACAGTCTTTCTGTGAGTGAATGAGATTTGCCTGTATTGTGGGCAAACATTGTTGGAGAAGCTAACACAGAATGTCACATCTTACCTGAAGGAAAAGGATAAAGGAAGTAGGTCTTTAACTGTAATTAGGCCTCTATGTTTATCTATGCTATAGCATTTAGTTATGGAACAATAGAGGAACACATAGAGGAGGAAATCTTTGTCCAGATCTTCACATCCTTCACCTTAAAGTTATAACTGACAGTCTGCTACACTTGCACACCAAATACTGTGTATGTGGTAAACTAATAGGATACAGCGCATCAGCTATGTATTTATTAAATCCACAAACCAAATATCTATAACCACATACTTCCTTTTTGTTTACAAGCTTTGTTTACAAATGCATTGGTTTGTACTGTATCGTGCTATAGTACTTATGTTTTCGTTCATGTATTTAATATTTCATTTGTGATGTAGTGCTTTGTTTTATACGTTACAGATCTGGATGTGTACGGTTTTACCTCAAGAAGGTATCACTTGCGAGCTTCCTCTGGCTAGGACAATTGTCAAATGATAATCAAAAAAAACAAATTATTTAAATGGCTGTTTCTGACGTGAATAACTTTGATTAACATGCCCTGCTGAAAAATGTATATTTTGGAATTGCACTGAAACTGCATTGGTAGTTTGAAAAGATGATTTGTTGTTTTGTATGCTTGTTAAATTAATAAACTTTTTTTTTTCCAAAATATCTTAAATGCCCAGTAGCTCTCATTTATCTTTTACCCCCCCCCAATTTTGGTTGACATTAGCTTCTACCCCCCTCCCCCAAAAGTTATGAACAATTGATGTTACATGACCCGTACACTGACGTTGCACAACAGAATGTTTTGGAAATGTTCTCAGAAAATATATTTGAATGCTTTTTTCTTGTTTTAATTGTTCCTCAACACACAAGATCCTGTTATGTGAATAAGAGAATGTCAGTACAAAATGCTCAAACTGTTGCTGTTGTAATGTGGTATATTGTACTTGGCTTTCCACATCCAACATCATTGACACATGACCCTGAGTTCTCTTTAATTTACTGTACACTAATGACTGCCAAAACTGATAGTGATTTATTTTAAATAGTCGAGTCAGTTTTATTTATAGTCACAAGTTTGTCTCGAAGGGTTTCTCAAATTGTACAACATATATCACCCCCTAACCTTAGACTGTCGGGACAGATAAGGAAAAACAGAATCCCATTACCGGGTAAAAGTGGAGACTTAACAGTATATGTATAAGTATATAGTAAAGTTACTAAGTGTAATTAATACAACATCAAATCGACAGATTATTTGTGACTGGAAGTGACAAAAATGATTAATAATGTCATTGGTAAACATTTTGGTTCCACAAGTCTCATTATGATGCATGAAATACACAATATTTGCCAGTGTCAGCAAACGGTAAACGTTAACATTAAAAAAAATTTATAATCCTTCTGCTGATGAGGTTTTAAACCCATATCACTTTGTGTTCTCGGTTACCAACACAAGGAATGACACAACCTGCACTATCTAGCCCTCAGAGAGTATCTATGTGTTGTTGTGTTGTATATGGGTGTGTGCTCGGGAACCTCAAGGGGAACTGCTCATCATTAATAGCACTCAAACTGCTATGTTGGCAAAAGCAGGACTACAGGACTGGTGTGGACATGATTCTGTCAGTGCATTGGAATTGGATCTATTCAATCATGCACTATGCAGTTTTGTAATATTCCCAGTGAGAAGACTGACATTTTAGTTGAATATTTATGAGTCCTCCTACACTTAAACACAGGTTAGGAAGACACTTTTGTTTTGGAGGTGAGCATACTGTTAAAGCAGAATTTGTGTGGATGCACTAAAAATTCCTTCTGAGATGGTAAGCCAGAATAAACAGAGTAGAAGTCTTACAATACAAAAAACAACTTACTTCAACTTGAAATACATACTTGAGTCATACTTTGGGGAAAATCTGCAATCTAGGATTAAAAAAATATATACACACATTTTTGGAACCTGAGTTCTGTGCATTGTGTTTTTTTTAACAGGCACCACGAAAATGAATCCTTTTTGGAATGATCTGACTGAACTGGTTATTTGTTTTTGCATACCTCCTTCTCAAGTATTCTCTGCTGCTGTTGGGACATGTACAGGGCGATTTAGGTAGTGATGGCAAGAAAAAATATACTGAAACAAATAGTTGTGGCTTGCCCTGTTTTCACATGCTTTTGTAGCATCCGCCCAAATTACAAATCAGGCCCTCACAACATCAGCTCTGTGTTTGTGTTTTATCGTCCACCACCTCATGAGCTATATGTCTTCTGTGCAGTTCAATAGCTTACCTACGGACGTCCTTACAGAGACCCGAAGGGCCAGGGTCAGGAAAAACTGTGGTTTGGGTATTCTTTCTCCTATAAAAGGCAACTGCTAGAACCATTTGTTGCCCAGAGGAGAAACAATCAATCATTGCACCTTCAAGGTACCGAGTGGTCAACAGGTGAAGACCTTTTTTTACACAACAGCCAGATAAGTGTTTGCAAGGCACTGAATGAATGTGAAGCAAAGAGTTGCTGAATAAAAGAATGTATCCATAGCTCTTGGTTTTGGAAGTAGAATCACATCAAATAATCGATAAATAAATAGACAATAATAGGATTCATGAGAGGGCCTTTTTGTATCTTTTTTTCTATACACAATGCCACCATTGACAACAAATATATTTCTTTTAATCGAACATTGTCTCCTGTTACCTGTCTAGATTGTTGATCTGGGGGTTGCAACCCTACCAGGGGCAGGATAGGTTATTAAGATTAATTCATTTTTCTCAAATCTTTGCTTTTGTTATCATTAAAAGCTCAATAGTTTACACCTATTCAAATGACACATCCTGAGAGATGAACATCACTCTTTGGTTGAACAGCTTGAAATTCAGTTCAATTCAATTTAATTCAATTAATTCATATTTGTATAGCGCCAATTCACAACAGAAGTTATCTCAGGACACTTTTCAAATAGAGCAGGTCTAGACCGAACTCCTTATAACATTATTTACAGAGACCCAACAGTACCACCATGAGCAAGCACTTGGCGACAGGGGCAAGGAAAAACTGCCTTTTTAAGAGGCAGAAACCTAGGACAGACGCTTTGGCTCTAGGTGGGTGGTTGTCTGCCTCTACCAGACAGACAGACAGACAGACAGACAGACGGTGACTGATGCATAACCTGTGACATTAAGCCTTTAGAGGGTCATTAGCCAAAATATGGGAACCACCACAGTATGGCACACAATGATGTAACTCACTTAAAAAAAAAAAAAAAAAAAAAGTTGTTATTTTAAGAACGGTTGCCTTTTCCATATTAAAAACAATGTCTACGGTGCTAATAGTGTCACACAGACTGTCTCTGAACTGAGCAGGAAACCGGGCAGACGTGTATGGAGCTAATATGGCAGCTGTTTGAGTGAACAGTGTGTAAATGGTGGACAGGTGTGTGGAACATACTGCATAGCAGCTACAAGGGGGCAGGTGCACAACTGTTTTACATAAACAGATGCCAGGTGAGTAGACACAGAGGATAAGGTGTTCTCTAGCTGGGAACAGGTAGTCCAGCTGGCCTCAGTTTGAAACTTTGTTTGCTGATTGAAACTGAAACTCACTTGCTGCAGTAACACAGGGCTCTCCTCAGCACTATCTTTTGACATGATAAACAGATCTTATTAAGCAATTGTAGAATTACACCCTTTGGCAGCATTGTGACTGGTCAGTAAGCACAGGTGTAACAAATAACATTAATGATGACTCTGTACCATTTAAATGTCCTTGCAAGCCAGCATGGAATTTAATTAATGTTATTCATTACACCTGTGCTTTTCTTGCTGCACCATTACTGCTATAAAACAAACACCCTCTACTACTCAAATATTTAATGTGTCAGCTATGAGTAGAACAAAGAGAGAATATTACAAAATCAAAAAACACTCAAGTATGTCATGGATTAAACATAACTCAAAATCTTTCCACAAAAAAATGTAAAATGTATTTTGTCTGGTCCTTATAAAATAAAATAATAAATACTTAACTTTTTGGATGCTGGGTTACAATAACGTGACCAAATATATGTTAAATTGATCTGTTTAAACCAAATTGGTGATTGTTCTGTTTGTTCCTGCCCAGGGACTGCAGATATTTGAGACTAAGACTAAGACTAATGTCCAGTGTGTAACATTTAGGGGGATCTATTGGGAGAAATGGAATCTAATGTTCATAGGTATGTTTTCATTTGTGTATAATCACCTGAAAATAAGAATTGTTCTGTTCATTACCTTAGAATGAGCTATCTTTATTGTTTTTTTAAGTAATTTTTTTGGCCTTTTATTGCTTTTATTTGATAGATACAGCTGAAGATAGACAGGAAGGGGGAGTAGAGAGAGGGGACGACATGCAGCAAAGGGCTGCAGGTCGGATTTGAGCCCTGGGCCGCTGCAGCAAGGGCTTAGCCTCGGTGCATGGGTCGCCAGCTCTACCCACTGAGCTAACCGGGCGCCCAAGCTGTCTTTATCTACAGAGGAGCAGAATTCGCCATGTTTCTACAGTAGACCAGTATGAATAAAACAAACAAAAATAGCTCTAGCTAGGGTCATGTTTTTTGTAAGTTTTATGGTCATCAAAGTTTACTCTACATGCTTGGAAGCCAAGCATTTGTTCAGTTAGTTGCAATCTGCAACTTCACCGCTAGATGCCACTAAAGACTAGACTCTGGTCCTTTAAATCAAAGTCACTCCCATTGCCACATCAACAGTGAACCAGTTCAGATGGTGGAGTGCTTCAAGTAACTTGGAATCACCCATGATAATAAACTCAACTTTGATCATCACATTACCGACATCCATAAGCTCTGTCAACAGAGGCTCAAAGTCCTCAAAGTCACACACACTGCCTCTAAAATCATTGGTCTCCTTACTAGCAGCCTCTGTCAAGACTTTTTAGATAAAAGTAAAAACAAGCTTTGGAGAATAATCACAAAAACGGTTTCACTCAACTTTATTCTCAAAGGCTCTGCACATCCGCCACAGGTGTTTTCAATACTGGCTGCTTAGACTCATTTTCAGATTTAAGCTGGATGGAGCTATGCTGCAATTACAGTAGTTTGAGAGACTCCAGGTACTTGTAAGAAAGATAAACGTGTAACTTCCTGCCCTCACAGGTGAAACAAAACCAACAGGAAAGTGAGGACGACATCAGTCAAACATAGGATCAACAGGCCCACACAGTTCTGAGAAGAGGTCTGTCAAAAATAAGTAAAATCACCTATGTAGTTGTTTTATGTGGTGTTTGGTTTTCTTTGTGTGCGTTCCGTTTACTCTTCTTTTACCTTTCTGTTTTAACCTCTTTTTATTTTCATAAAGGCCTGAATTAACATCACCTATAAACAGTTTGAAACTTGCATCGTATAGCTGTTTTCAGTATGTCTATTTACTGTATCTGTCCCCATCAAATAAACCATAAATAAATAATTAATAACTGGAGCAACTTGTTTATTACAAACTATACACCTACAGTCCTGATACTTGTGGAAAAGCTCAGAGAGAAAACTCTGGCGCACTCTGTTGGATGTGAGGTGCAATGACAAACACAGAACACTCAGCAGAAACAACCCACTGTACTTTATTATCGTTGCACAAACATAATACTGGCAATTATAGACAGTAAAAGTGTCTGCT